AGTCACGGCTTTAAAAAAATGTTTTCTTAGTAGGAGCGAAGTAAGGCATTTTTCATTACGAAAGCAGCAGTCAATATTACTTCTCCCCTTTAAAATCAGTGGTGTAAAACCTGTTTTTGTGTCATATCACAAAGGTTTCTAACCACTGCCTCTAAATACTTTACTTAATTCATAAATAACCCCATCCAATTTCGTCCCTTCAAAAAATTCACTTCAATCTTCGACATGACCATCAAAACTCCTTCAATATATCCAATTTTATTCATTACAACCCCGTCTGTCCTTCGTACATGTGTGCGTTTACTTAATTTCCGATCCATCATTGCACTTCTTCCAAACTATATCCATTATAGATCCATCCGTCTATATTATTTTGAGCGAATCAGCAAAAGATGAAACCTTTATGGGGGGAAATGGAATAGCAATCTTTATGATTCTCATCTGTACTACATATTTTTTACTTTGTGCTATCATTCTTTTTTTTCGATATGCTGCTTCATGATTTTTACTTTCCATTTCCTATGAATTCTCAGTGGTCTTGTGTGTTGAACAAAATTTTTATTAGAGCGAAGTGAGAAGTTATTTTTTTTTTTGTGTTTGGTTTGAGAGGCAGACAGGCAGGAGAATTATATGAGCGTGCTTTTTTATGTGACTAGATGTAAAAACAGGTATGTGAAATTTATGGATGTTAGTTGTGTTCTTTCTTGGAATTTACGGATGGAATAATTTCGTATTTTATCTAGGGAAAAGCATTTTTGGAAGTGCTCATCTGTAACATTTTTGAGATGCCATCGAGGTGATCTAATGTGAGCAGTTTATGGTAAGATTATCTTTAAACTTAACAAAAATTTATTTAATAATATTGAGGAGTCAGGAACTCATTTAAAGCAGGGTTTGATGCGCGATTGTCTATTTTATATCCCTGCATACTTACTCAAGTGTCCAGGAAGTGGCTCAGTATCCTTATAACCCAAACACGAAGAATATATCCAGAATATGCAAATCTAACAAGATTCTATGTCTTTTTTCAATCAGAACTGCTTCAACATCTTTAAATCTCTTTAAACATTTGACTTGGAACTTTTAATGCATCTGAATAAAGCCTTTGAATCTTAACGAAATTTCTTATTATTTAATTGCTTTACAGACAATTTCACTGAAGCCAAAAGTAATTTAATTATTGCTATAGAAGCTTTAGAAATCCATAGAATCTTCTAAATAAGAACAAAGCAGATGGCTAACCTGACTAAAATTTTCAATTTCCCAACTTTTAATATAGAACAAACTTTGTTCATTATTTTTTAAAATCTGAGAAAACCTTTCAGTAATTCACTTCCCCAAAAACATTACAAAAGTTCGTGTGCCTTAAATATAGCACGTATTTTTGTTTTCCTAAACATTTTTCAAGCTTCAATTATTTCAAATTATCAAGAATTTTCTTTTAATTGCGTAAAATTTTTCTCACCTGAGAGAAAAAAGAGACTTTCTGGAAATTAGCAAGACATTCAAAGTTCATTAGAATTTCAAAATACGATAAACAACAAAAATGTTGATGAAAAAGTTTTTCTGCTGTTTCGTCAGTTTGTCGTGAAAAAGAAAAAAAAATGTTTTCAAATTCAGACACACGCCTGAAAGGTATCTAAGCGTATACATATACTCCATATTTTGTTATAAATCGCGAATATAGCAAAAACCAGTAATCTTTCTCATTCCACTCCAAAATGTATGTCATGCACACAGCACTTCATTCATGATTTCGTCGGTGAAATTTGTTGGGAAATAAACAAGTTCAGATAAAAAAGAGATATGAAAATTTTATGACCGGGATATCAGAAAAAATCAGCGGAAATGTTGCAGGAGGAAGGAGAGATTCCCGAGTATAGATTTTATAATCTAAACATCTAGCACTTTTTATCTGGAGAATAAGCAAATTCTATGTGAACTGAACAAACGGAAATTTTTACTGCAAGGTTTGGGCACTTTTGAGAAGCTTTATAGCACAAACGCTTCATATTTCATTAATCTAGGGTTTACGAAATCAACAGTAAAAGATTAATTTTTATTTTATTAATATTTTAATTTCTATATTGAAGTAAATTCACAATTTAAACAAACTAAAGTCCAAAATCGTACTTATTGAGAGTTCCAAGCCTCTGACAAAAATAAAACATGAACTTAGTACTGCCCATACTTCGTCCATCCCAAAATTTCCTTTCATCCAGCGCAACTTTTTCCATTATATCGCAAATCTGAATTTTAAATACATTTATGATCTACTTTTTACCCTCAGAATTATGACTTCCTTTTATGTGAATTAAAATTTTCCACATTAAATCAGATTCGTTAAAAAAAATCAGCGCCATTCCAATCCAACCTTTTCACGATTTTACGCCAACTTTATGTTAATTTTATTTTTCAATAAAAATTAATTGCAAATATTCTTTCCTTCTAATTTAATTTCAGATCTAAGGCACAATTTCTGCATAATTTATTAATTAAAACGTCATTAACTATAAAAAGAAAATTCCATACAGCCATCATCAGTCGTTTTAATTTAATGAAAAATGTGCGTTAAAATTGCTCTTAATTTATTCCATTTCACACCAATTTAATCGAGTGATTTACATAGTAAGGAATAATAGTGAAATTATTAAGAACTTGTTTTTTATTATTATTATTTTCGACAAACATTAAGAAGCTGTGGAATCTGCTGAGCTTGGTGAAGTAATTGGAATGAGAAAAAGCTAGATTTATAGAGCTCGAAATGTCTCACATCAAAATTGTAAACCATAAAACTTGGATATGAATTTATGATTATCAGCACAGCCCTCTAGTATTCTATCAGAGTGGAATGATGCTGAATATATTTTTTTTTCTATTCTCCATAAATTTCCATAGTAAAATTTTATTTATTCAATGTAAATCGTAAAATTAAAGTTATAATAAAAGGGAAGAGAATATAATAGAACCAGGGGGGTAATAGCTTTGTGGGCATTTAATAATCATTTTTTTAACCTTTTTTTATCATTTTTAAAGGTTCGGAGTCAAACTTACAGTTAAATTCTCAAGTTTTGTTGAAACTTATAATGTATGAGCAAGGGGAAAACAACATGATGGAAAAAGTTTGGTGAAAAAATATTTCGATTCGAAATCAGAGTATTTATAGAATGTTTCCCAACATGCTGTTTTCCCCCTGAAATTTTATCATTTTACCTTTTGCTGGTTTCACAAAAGCCACATCCCCCCTAAAAAGAACATTTTTAAAGGTTTATATGAACAATTCTTCGAATGAGTTTTAAAAAATTTTCACGGCTGAATTGACTTTCCCTTCGATGTTTTATAAATGATTCCTTTTTTCAGCTCAATTGGTGTGCTTAGGATGGATTTATCCATTTTTTTAATAAAATTATTTTTTGTGTATCTTCAAATTCATGATTTATCTACAATTTCTGCCTTAATAGGTTTCTAAAAATAAAATTATTTTGAGACTTTCTCTCTCTCTCTCTTTCCTGAGCATTATTCAGTGACAACACATAATATTAAAAGATTCCGAAATTCAACAGAAAAGTAAGGTAAGAATTTCATAAAATATTTATAAACTTTCATCAGAAACGTGTTGATTTCTTCTTAATCCGATTCTACGTTACTTTATGTAAAGTTTAAATTAAACAGATGATTTTAAGGTGTTTCCCAAAAATTATAAAGTATGAGCTCAATAAACAATGATGAAATCTCTTGACTAAGCACAAGATACTCTTGAAGATTCTGTATTTTGTACATGGTTTGGGGTTTGCTTATTTAGTCTCATAACTTGGTATTTTTAGATATCATAATTAAAATGTCTACCTGAGCATTTTTTAACGAAATCGAATAAATATTTGAAAGATTTTAGTTTAAAAACTTCTTTTACAAAGAATTTTGTGGAGAATAGAAAGCAAATCTTAGCAAATTGAACACAATTTAAAGTTTACCACATAACTCGATAATCTTTTCTTGAAGAACCAAGTCTTTAGTAAAAGATTTATTATCAAGATTTAAAGTAAATTTATGGAATTAAACTCCATTTAATGTTTTCCATTTTAAAATAAGTTGTCTTGATAAAATCTCATTCTAAAGTAAGTAACTCCGATAAGTAATCAACTATTCTCTTAAAGTCAACTTTTTCAATTAAACTTTCTTATAAATTCAAACAGAAATTCAAACTTTTTTTATTGAAAGTAAAAACTTTTGAGATCAAACTTCAAAAACTCGACTTATAAACGAAAGTTAACACATTACTATTTCAAGAATTGCCCAAATCCATAAAGCTTTAAAATAATTTTTTTTATGATTGTATTTAGTGAATTTGTTCATTGTCTTTGAATTACGGAAGCAAACTAGCTATTGTTCATGTTAGAAAGACAATACAATTTTCTGTAGGGCTTTTTTTCGTTAATTAATTTATTTTCAATTTATCTGTATTGTCAATACATTGTCGTCTATGTATAATAAAGCCTTTAAGTGAGAATGAATAAGAATGAAATAAAAATTGAATTATAGCTTACATCCGAGAGTATAGCGAGAATATGTGTGTATGGAAAGAGGGGTTAAAAAGGAAGCGAGAATAAAAAAAAGAAAAGAAAAATTCACAAGAACGCTTAAGGATGAATTATATTGACAATATTGTCATGATATTTATTTTTTCGTAGTTTACGTAAACATAATCAGACTGATGCTAAGTTGCTAAGTTCATAATCAACTAATGAATTGATTGTTAAACACATTTAAGAATCAAAGTGGAATTAGCTTTTATTGCCTCATTCTCATGTTAATATTTAATATTATTGTATCACTTGAAATAGAAATTTTGTGCGAAAACAAATTACGATATTAATATTAAGCGAAACGGGGAGCGATAACACATTACTAAATAATTTAATTTTCATGAAACGAGGGCCATTTTTCCACATCTTCTCAGTAATTTCCTTTCGTTTTGTGCTTTTTTTTTGAATTTTTATTACCTTAAAAAAATTATTTTTTTTGTTCTTCTTTTTAACGTTTAAACAAATTGACAACTTTTTTATTTTCTTTTTTTCATTACTTATTCATTAACTTTTTATGGCAATTATATTTTTTTTTTGATTCACAATTTCCTCATTTTTTATTTACAAAACATTTTTTTTAACTTTGATATTTTTTTCCTTCATGGAAAATTCAAGTTTTTCACAATTCTAAAGAAAAACTTTTTTTTTCTTCCTTCTTTTACTCCGCGCGAAAAAAGGAGAGTCTTTTACACGTCTCGATAATTCGACATTCTACGGAGAACTAAGGATTCAAATGGAGAAAATGTTGACATTATATTGATGGGAAAAAAGCAAGCAGAAATTCACCAAAAAAAAAAATCTTCAGTATGTGGGATTCTCTTTTTGTATGTAGTTTCAAAAACAATGAAATTTCTCGTCTTTCATACCGAGCGATAGCATGAAAAGCTTTACACAATATACACAATATAATACAGCATCCTGAAGCATCATTCTCAACAAGTTTCATTCGGTTTGGTGAGACTGCGCGTTACATTGTAATGAGAGAATGAGCGATAGATGAAAATAAAGATGTGGATTGTTAGTTCGTTGCTGTGTGGTACTCGTCAATGTATAAAGACCGTTTTGGGAGAGAATCTAAGCTTCATAATTTCTGTAAACAAATAATTTGTTTAGTTTTGTAGTGAAAAAGTTTTTTTTTTCTTGCCTTTCTTTTATGGGATGTTTGTAAATGATGTAAAAATTAAAGTAAAGCCTGTATAAGGCGAGAGATTTTACATAACAGACGTGAATTACGTGCTTGTTGTAAGTGATGTAGTAACGGTTTCAATGTCAAACAATTTATTTTTTTTTATGAATTTTTGGCATTTTCAAAAGAATTAGTCACTAAAGCATTAACGCTCCAAGAGTCTCGAATAAGGAAAACTGTCTTAATTTCTGTATCTCCGTGTCGCCCTATCTTTGCTACATCACTTATATTAGCAATAAAATAAGACCTAGAGCCGCGTTATAATCAATTGAACTAGTTTTGTAGCAAAGATGTAGGCTTTCTATGTTCAGATGTCTTTGAGAGTCAGAATGAACAGCGTCCTGGGAAGAATCCTCTCTTACTATAACCTTTGAGTACGCAAAACAAAATGAACAAACCTAAAAATGCACCGTCCAACACCAAGAAATCTCAAAATAAACCAGATCAACAATCCTACTCTATAGTTCACATCATTTCCGAACGACCCCACTTTTGTCTTCCCTTTTTGTATCACACAAAATGAGATGATGATCGCTACAGCAGTAGAAAAAATGGGAAACAAGCGAGTACAAACAAAATTTATCTTCTTTACTTGAACAACATTTTTGAGGTTTCATTTTTTTCTTTCTTTTCTTTATTGCATGATTTGATACAATTGTTATTATTTTGGCAAGACAACACGAGGAGGGTGAAGAAGAGGGAACAAAAAAAATTAATATTAATATATCATGTAAAGTGCTTTTTAAAAAAACTTTTTAAAAGCTCCGCAAAATTGTTTTCAAAAAAGTCTTTAGCTATTGTCCTGGCGCGTTCTAGATGCTCTTACCACAAAAAAAAGTTATTTTTCGACATGATGATGGTGATTGATAATGTCGTTTAAGAATCATCAAAAATTTATGCTCATGATTTTTACAGTAGATGAACTGAGAGTTATGAACTTATGAATGAAAATAAAAAATAACTTCTTGTGAAAAATAAAATAAGGGTAAGTTTAAAAGCACAGCACATGTCGCATGTGAGATGAATGTATCCAGAGAATGTAATCTATAGCCTGATTATTCCAAGACAGAAAACACAAACTTGAATCTTTGGAGATTTTATGGTACTAAAGATTATCACTAAAGATTATCACAATAACGTTATTGTGCCTTTTAAAAATAGACACACATGTTATAGTTGACTAAGACTAGGACGTAGCCAAAAAGTGGGAAGTCAGCTCTCTCCTCGAAAAACAATTGAAGCTTGGTGATTTAAGGAATATTGTGACACATCTGATTACTTCTAATGTGCCCAAGCACTCTGATTGGTCATCGTATACATATGATACAGGTAAAGAGAATGAAATGGTCTAGAACTCCTTACGACCAATAAATTTCTTATACTAGAAATACTTTATATTCCAAAATATACTTTTCAAGCCCAAAAGTGACTTTCAACAGTCTTCTGCACGATTTGCCTGCAGCATTTTGAAAATGACAGCCACTGATTTTCGTCGTTCATCGTTTGGTAGAAGATTGTTTTACTTTCAGAAAAAAAAATTCAAATGTCAAAAAATGGAATGAGATGAAGAATTGTAAGAAATCAGTGAGGATGACCATCAATTTTTCATTTTAATGATTTTCATTTTTTCTTGGAACTAGCAATTGTATAGTTGTATTTAACCCTACCAAAAAAATCATCAGCCCCACCCAATTTTAAGAAATATTTTGAAAAACTATGGAATGACGTCAGATTAGGAGCTTTTGTTACAGAAAGGAATAACATTAGACGTTACACAATCGTCACACAACCCTTATAATCCATTATTATAACAAGCTATATACCCAGATACTCAAAACTAAAGAAACTACTTCTTTCATCTCACAAATCTGCTCTAGAAAATCAGCAACAATTTATTTTAAAGACTTTTTCTTACCCAGAGAAAATTAAATAATTATATTATTTTAAAAAGGATAACAGACCCATGAAAAAGTTCTACTTTAAGTATGAATAGTAAATTATGGAATGAATAAAGCCTGAAAAAGTAGGTAAAAGAATATTTAACAAGTTTAACTTTACAGCAATGTTGATTAAGAGAGAATAAAAGAAAAATATTTTTGCTATAATTCTTCCCTTAACCATTGTAAAGATGAAAACTTCATCTACAGATAGAGCTGAAAGTGAGCTTTAAAGCTGGTCCCTTTATAGAACAAAATTCTTAAGCGAGCAACAAGTTTTTATTTTCTAAAATTTATAAAGTAAAATTTATCGCTATGGAGTTAAATTGAATGTAAACTTAATGTTTCATACATGCGATGGGTTATCGTATGTACATATCTAATGCATTTAGCATAAATCAAAGCTTATGTAGTCAAAAGGCTCTCGACATATTTTTTATATTTATATTTGTATTTGTTTGATATCCTAAGCGATGAGTGCCATGGCTTACTGTAAGTCTTCAAAGTTTTATGGTAATAGCAATTGAAATAAAGAATCCTTCGAGGAACTGTACTTTTGGCAGACGTAGGAATTTGATTTAAAAGTTTTTTTTTCAAGAAATGCTTGCAGCAAATTGTCCAATAAATCATCGTTCAAGACTTTGTTATTAGTTTTGCTTAAGTTTTCTTGTATTGCATATTTTAGAAATTTTTTGAATATGATCCATGAATGCACAAAATAAATAACAATAAATCTCCATGTTTATCTTTTCTATATACCCAGCTAGATTAAGATGACAAAAAAAAATATTCAGACAGATTTTATATGCATTGGCAAGACCTTGACCTAAGCTATTCATTTTCTCACATTACGTACTTATTGACGACAATACGAAATTAATATTAAATTACAAAACATGAGATGATTCCATTGAAATTTGTTAATTAATAATTAATGAGAAATTTGAGAATCATTATGTGGGGGCGAGTTGGAGAATGTTTTGGGTGTCTACGTTCGAGAAAAAAAAGCACAGCTCTATCGTACAACTCTGAAGCACAGCGAGAATAACTAGCAAATTGCTAGTCTTTCTATTCTACTACTTGCAATTTACTAGTTATTATTAAAACAACTTACTATTAGTAAATTACACTTGCAATTTAATAGCAAATTACCATGTGGAATGTTTCATCAAATCTGATTATGTTCGAATCTTACGAAAAATCATCAAAAAAAGAATTTTTGCGTCACAAAAATAATTTTTTGCGTCATAAAAAGAATTTTTGCGTCATAAAAAGAATTGTTTGCGTCATGACAAGAATTTTTTGCGTCATAAAAAATTTTGTTCTAAATTTGGCATTTGTCATATACTTCACAAGAGCGCACAGAAATCACCTTTATAAGCTCGATCCAAATTTGTATGTGACTTTCAATTAATTATTGGAGTCTTGGGCGTTCATCAGTATGCGACTTAATTAAATTAAGTCCTTTTTGTTCTTTTTCGTAGTGTTAGTGTACTTTAAATAAGTACACACTAATACTTTTACAATAATTTACACAAATAAGAAAAATCAAAAGAACACGTGGAAATCAACGGTTATATTCATTTAATTTTTTTACAAATTTGCTAGTAAATTACTAGTAAAATTATAAGCGAATTGACTAGTCAATTAGCAAGTGAAAATGCGGGTCTTTGGCGAAGATTTGAACTTGGTTTTGACTAGTAAATAGCAAGTAGCAAATGGAAAGTTATCCAGTAAATTCCTGGTAAATTTCTGCTAGTTAACAAGTTTACCTTTCAATAAAGCATTAAAATAAATTTTATCGCATCACCATTTATGTTGAGACGTGAATAATGACACCCCATAATTATTATGCGAAATACAGGAAGCAGCTCTATGACATCATTATATTATTTCCATCACAGTGTGACTTCCAACCATTATAATTTTCTGCAGGTTATTTCCTGTACTCGTTGACGCTCTTTTCATCATTTTACGTTGCTAGCTGTAGAGTAATCAATTTTGATTTTTCAAAAGCTTAACAATCGAGTGGAGTTGAGTTGAAGATGCTATGGAATACTTATGGTAAGAGCTTTGCTATGACGAGGGGATCGCTGATCTGAATGTGATTTATTTATTCCAAGAATTCGTCATCTACATCTATTTGCATCCTCAAATGAAGATGCCAGAAATTAAATAACTAATGGCTCTAATTTAAAACCCATTAAAACAAGAGTTATTAAGAGAAATGGTATTCAAGACCACACCGAAAAGAATTTCAAAACTTAGCATCTTTGTGGATATTTCAAGCATCCTTAGTAAGACTTAAAATTCCTCAAACCCTTTAAGAAATTCTTCAGATCTAAAAGAGGTAACTTTTTAATTAAATATATTAAAATAATTAAATAATCAATCTTGGATGTCAAATTGATTTTAGCACTTCAAGAACAAAAAGTGTCATCAAGTAAATATATTTTAAAATGAAAAGTAACGTCTGAAAGTAATTGATATCCATAAAATTGAAAAAAGCACACAAAAAAACAAGTTTAAAAAAGTTACAGCGATAAAATTAAATTGTGTCTATCGAAAATAAGAAAGTAATTAGTTTCAGTGAATGAGTTTCCATTTTTATAGCGACAGCCATCAATGGAAGA